ATGAGGCCATGTAAACCCTCTTATGTGATCTAGGCCTAATCACAAAAGCCTTCAATATCTCTGCTGCCCTCTTCACTACATCACTAGTAAGACTAACAAAGGATTTGTAAAACACTCAACAATTGAGTAAGTAGGTAAACAGTCATAGAACGGTTATCAATCACTAAGGTTATGAACAATCAAATACCATCCAGTCTTGAGCCTTTTGTACCTCTACAGAGAAAATGTTTTCCCTTGGAGTGGTAACTTCACAGGACTGCTACGTGTGAAAATAAATCCAATTGTAATGTTGTTTATACTAATCGTGTTAAATAGTGTGTAACTGTGCCCGGTTACATGTGGTGTTCTTCCTTCCAATCACAATACCGTGTCGTGGGATGGACTCACCTGCTCCAGGACACTCAAAAGGCAAGAGCAGATGTTGTCGCAGCACAGCCTCATCGGTGAATGGTCAGGCATTGTGAAGGAGCTGGCAGATGGCTATAAAAACGTTAATCTCACTGGTTATTAAATAAACCCTGATATCCAGAACTGCTATGGGCTATCATCTCCTCTGTCTTGCCCGTGACAGTGGTCCAGCTCGTCTTGGAGTCCACCCATCTGGACCTTATCTCTCCAGTTTGACTACAAGGATATTATGGGAGACCATGCTGAAAGCCTTGCTGAAGTCAAGGCAAACAAAAACCACCCCTCTGCCATCACCCACTGAACCAGTCCTCCCATCATTTTGCCACAAAAAGCAATCAGCTTGGTCAGGCACCGTTTGCCTTTGGTAAATCTAGGCTGGCTGTTGCCAATCACCTTTGGTTCTTCACGTGCCTGATAATGGCTTCCAGAAGGATTTACCCTTTAATCTTCCTGGTGTCCGAAGCATGGCTGACCAACCTGCAGCTCCCTGGGTTGTTGTTGCCCTTCTCAAGAATGAGCATGACATTTGCTTTTTCCCAGTTATCAGGGACCTTCCCTGACTGCCATGACCTTGCCATTCTTGGTGTGAGGACAGGAAGCTTAGCTAGCAGTTCTTACCTCTCTCCATCGAGGACAGGAACTTTTTGTTTTTGCTGTCTCAAATGGAGACTAATATGAAGACTGCCTCCTTTCTTGACCAAGACATTTGGCTACCCATCCTTTTTTCTAATCAGTTCCATGTTGCCTGCTCTTGATGACCTTCATGCTCTGGAAGGCAAATGTCACCTTCAGTGGGATGTGCAGCAGAACAGGATTACTCAAGGACTTTTCAGGTTTAGTTGAGAGCAGAGTGGGCAGTTAAACTTGATGACTGCTTGATAACATATGCATTTTTTACATATGTATGTATGGGTATGTGTGAGTGTATGTCTGCAGATATTGGCCAGACAGGACCGGCCAGGGACAGATGGCAAAGAGGCTGGCTGAAGAAGTGACAAGTCCTTTCACCTGGTTATAGGCAGAGGGCCCAGGGCAGCAGTTCCTAAGCTGTTCTGCTTGCAGCCTAGCCTCCAGGACTATCACTCTGTTGTTTCCATAGCTGGGCTCATGGCTTTGCATCTGGAAGGTCTTCTAAAACCACACTGACGGCTCAGTACCTTCATTCAGTGGCCACCAACAAGGCACTTCTCTGGCTATGTAATGCAGGAGGCTGGATTGCAGCGGTCCCTCCAGTGTATGGGTTCATGAAAGCAAACAGAAGAGGCTTGGCAGCTACCCCAGGTTCAAGGAGCCTAACTGAGGGTGTGCAGGAAACTGCCAGAAAGAAGCCAAGGATCAGAGAAGAAACGCTGCCAGCATCTCATGCTGCTGCTGAGAGCCGTTCATGCACAGAGAATCATCCAGAAGAAGTGATAGCAGTAACCATGACAATGTCAGCAGCGTGGCACTAGCGGGGCCTCTGCAGGGATTATTTTTTCCTCAGGGACACTTTTAAGTACCAAGAGTGTATCTCTCTTTTTATGATGTGTGCTGTTGATTGAGTGGTAGTCCATGTTTGCTTTTATCTTCCTCAAAGCAGAGCTATCTCTGTGTAACTGCTTTCTCTGAAAATCGCTTAGGCAGGACTAGCTATAAAATAAAAGCATTTTTTAGGAGTGTCTGTCCCTTCCCATGTGTTTGTGGAGCATTTTGCAAAGGTCTGTCTCTCCACCCTAACACCTCTCCCTTGGATGTCCTGATCATAGCCAGGAACCATTGCTGACTAAAACCCACGGTATCTCGTTCTGCTGAACGCGCTGCTATTTCTGAGGTGTGACTCAGTGCCTTTCAGTTAGGTGTCAGCACGTGTTATTTGCTCAGATATGAAATCAACATGAATTAATTCTGCTTCTTTTATATAAGTTTCTGTCTTTTCCTGCTCCAGATCATGTGTGAGGCACAAGAAGAGAAGAGCTTGGCGATGCTCAGCCTGGTTTGGTTTGAAGACCCATTTCCCACCGCATGGGCTTCACAGAGGGGCTCATTGCTAATAGCCATATTCCTAGTGCAAGAAAAGGAGAGGCAAATCATGTGGGGAATCCAAGGGAAAGGGAGAGAAAGGGCGAGCTTATGGCAAAGGACAGAGGACACATGAAACAAAGGAACGAGAGAAAGAGAAAGAAGGATCTAAAAACAGGGAAAGAGGTAAGAGACCCAAATTGTCAACTTCATAGTGGAAGGAGCAGAATATTCTTCCCTTTGGGTGCTAATAGACTGGCAGGGTGGCAGGCCTTTTATAGTGCCAGGCTGTGTTCAGACTCTTGTGCCCATATCAGCCAAGGGAATTTTCATTATTATTTTGTAGAGCTCATTTTTACTCTTTTCTGTCTGGGTCAGCAAAGAGCAAGTGGCATCAACGCTTAACCATAGAAAGTGTGACAGTGCTCTTTTACAATGTAAGAAATTGCAGTAATAAGCATAAAGAGTAGTATTCGGCATCTGACAGGATGACTGATGTAAGCTATCAGCCAATATTTTACTTTCCAAGTGAGATTAGATTAGCATTTCATTTAATATAAACATAAAGCATTCAGTACAATGCATTTATTTAACAGGCAGGTGCTTATAGCCTTGTACTGGCTGGAGGCTACTTAAAGTTTAAGATATCTCTGTTCTCTCCAAGAATATCGTAATATTATCCAGTGGAGTTTTAAAATCTGGATTGTTGCTGTGAATCTCATCAGAGAATAACAAAGAAAAGGTATGTTTCTGTTGGTAATTCTTCATTTCCTATCAAAAAAAAACCACAGTAATTTTTGTTCTGAGTCAAAGGAAAAGCAGAGAGATTTAGAACATAAAAAGTTTCAGGATAGTTTGAATTTGGATTTTTTTATAGTTTGATTACTTTCTTTAGATTTCCTTTATCCCATACGTTTGAGTGTCTGTAAGCGTATAAATGCACGAAGAGATATACATGCATGTGTATCTGCATGTGCCTGTGTGCATGTCTATTCTGTACGTGCTGATATTATGAGGCTGGTCCAAAAAGCAGAGGAAGGTGGATGGCTGAACTTAAGAACATTCAAATTTGAAAGATACAGTAATTTCTTATAAGTGAGGGCATTTCATCATTGCAGCCCCTTACTAAAGGCTGTAGTAAGCTCATCATCACTTGAAGACTGCGCTGAGACTGAGTGACTTTTTGTGCAAGCTTTGTTATGTGTTGCAGGGCTCGGTAGCCTACAACTTCATCCACCGAGCAGGTCACTGAGGAAGACTGAAGGACAGGTGCTATGCAGGAGCGTCAGGCTGAAACTCTGTACCAGACATGCTTTACTTCTTGCATGCTAGTATGATACAACCCATTCACACCTTCCTCTTCATGTAGGAAAGGCAGAAAAGGATAGCGGTTCTTCTCAGAGCTTCTTGGAGCTTGTTTGCTGGAGTTAGTACATGAGTTCCTCTCCTGGACCTAGCCCAGTGTGAGTGGCACCAGACGGATCAGCATGGAGTGACTGAATCAGAGGAATACTTAGGTTGACAATGAATCTGTTGCTTAGCAGGTGTTCTCCAGCCCTCCATTGCTTTATTCACGGGTCAACAGACTGGGAGCCTCAGCTAGGTCCCTCTCCCACCCTCTGCCCCTCTACTACTCTACTAGCAGCACTGAAATTCAGCCTTAGACAAAGACCATTGGAAACTACAGCTCCTGACAGGCCTGGATGCAGGGATGTTCGCACCATATGAAACTGGGCCCGTCCTGTCCCTGTGTGGGAGCTCTGCAGGAGAAGTATGTTGGAAGGGAAAGTTTGCTGCGGGATGGAGATGTGATTCATGGCTTTTATACAGAAGCAGCTGGGTCACATTATGGCGAGCTTTGGAATAGCTGGGGCAGACATGGGAAAGATAAGGCTTTACAACACTTCTTAGCATCCCCTCCCACTTTGTGGGGATGGTGGCCCCAAAGAGTAGTGAGGTTATTCCAGAGATGCGGGCTCTCCCTCCCCTTGTCTGTCAGGCTGCCATTCAGGAGTGAGCTGTCTGGTTTTTATGCTCCACAGAGGCATTTGTGTTTGCAGGGGTATGCCAGCATGCACTCCAGATTGAATTTCTGAGACTAACTGAGAAACGGGAAAGCCCCATCCCTCACTGAGAGATCCTGTGCAACTGCTTCAATTGGCGTGGCACTGTGCTCATTGCGACTCAATCCTTAGGGGACCCGACATTTATCCTGTCCTTTCCAGGGTGAAATTCATTCTCTTCAGTTGGTGTTTTGCCTCCATATGAAAGGCAGTGCACTTGGACCCCTGGAACGTGGATCACTGTGGCCCACGGTCACTGAACTTCGCTGAGGAGTCTTTGGTCTCCCACAGACCGAAAATGACCTCAGTGAAGAGAGGAGTAAGACCTTCTTGGGCTTCTGAACACACTGTACCACTCAGAGATGGGGATCATCAGCTGTCTAAAATAGGCACTAAGTTTTCACCAGCAAGAGGCAGGTGTTACTGTTTAATTGTTATAAAGCAGACAAAAGAAATCAATGTAAGTGTTATAATATAGATATTCAATTAAAATAAGTATCGTGTTGTCTTTAGTGGCCGTAACCTGGAAGGATGGCTGAAATACGAAATTTCACCCAGGTGGTGCAAGACATTTTCAAGGACACATTTCTCCCTTACATGAATGGCTGGAGGAAAAACATGACGGAAGCAGCAGATGAACTGCAAGCTAAGGTTGATGCTGAAAACTTTGACTATGTTATCCTTTATTTGATGGTGATGATTGGGATGTTCTCCTTCATTATTGTGGCAATCTTGGTGAGCACTGTGAAATCAAAGAGGCGAGAGCACTCCAATGACCCCTATCATCAGTACATTGTTGAGGACTGGGGCGAGAAGTATAAAAGCCAGGTTCTGAATCGAGAGGATTTAAAGTGTGTGGTCCATGAAAACTTTGGTGCAAGGGAAAAAAGCAGCCCTGGATCACCCTGACCTTTTGGAAACATCATCAATGATGAAATCATAAAGCCACACATAGGGAATTCACTATAATTATAAATGGTTATAAAACTGTTTGTTAAATTAACAGACAGGTCAAAGTGGAATAGAGTGCTAAGGAAATCAACATTACTGTTTTCTGTGAGAACTTTGACAGGGCTAATTGGGGAACATCCAAGAAAAATGCATAATTGTGCTTTGCTTTGATATTCTGTTCTTCAAAAAAATAAAACCAACAGGGAATTTTTAGCATTTTTGAAATCTAGAAGTGGATCTGGATGTTGCCACCTCAGAAAAACTAGCATTTTGAAGTGGTCAAAAGTGTCAATTGAGATCCAAACTGTATGGTTTAAGCCCATCTTAAAAATAACATGAAACTGTACCAATAAATATCAAAATCCCCATCTATTGACTGAACAATATGTTATGGTTTGAATCTTAAGAGGTAACCTATACTTGCACACATTCAAGCCAAACTGTTGTTTTAATGATGTAATCTGGCTCCCATTTTGAGTTCCTTATTCATTGGCAGTAAACATTGACTCATGGCCTTCTGAGGAGGCCTGTTTTATAGCAACAGAGCTCCTAAACTAGCAGTCTTCTTCTGGGGACGTGTGCTAGTTGTGCACGTAGCTGGCCAGCTTGTCTCTTCTGCTGCTCCTCGATTCTCCAGAGCTCTGTCTATCTGGGATGAAGGCTGGGTTATGGAAGCTTTGGTTATAATCCTAGCAGTCAGGACTCAGTGTAAACTACTGAGATCTTGCCATGTGGCTTTCACAAGTGGGATTTCTATACCCAGCTATAAAGGCTGGCCTAATGCTGTGATTCATAAGGGCTTGCCATGTTGTGTACTGGTTTCCACTGGCTGGGGAATGGGTTCTCAGGACGGTTTATATTCCTCCTGTGCTGGCAAAGCACCACAATGCTGGTTCTCAGGGAACAATTAGAAGCAGAACTGGTGGCACTTCTGGTATTAGAATATGCTTCCCTTCATAAAGCTCTGCGTTTAGCTCCTGTTCCTGTTGCCAGATTAAAGCCGTTTAAGCTAAAAGTTCCCATGCTTGCTTTTTGTTTTTAGAATGTCTTGGCTGAAGCATGTCTGATGCTGCATTTCTAACAACATTAAAAAGAAAAGCAAAAGAAATGGACCTCTTTTATTGTGACACTTTGGCTTGTTTCAGAGCCTGGTCTTGAGATCTGGCATGAGAGTTGCTGTCATGCCTCAGATGTGCCTTTTACCAGCATAGTTATAAGCCTTTGAATAATCTCCATCCATGAGTGTTAGTGAAGACTTGTTAGGTCCTAGCATAGTTTTCTGGTCAGTCTAACTCTACCATGCATGTCCTCTTCCCTCCTACCTCTCCTGGGTGACCTGTGGGTATGTGTCAGCTCCCCAGCTCTTGTTTTGGTTGTGCTCAACATCTACATTGCAGGAGTTGCCTTAACTCTTACTCTTGAGGCCCACAGACTGGAAGAGTGCAGATACTATGCTGCCAGCTAGGTGGAGGGGTGCTGGGCCCAACGCTACCACAGTGCTGCAGTCAGGTGAAGACAACAGCTTCCCACAGGGTACAACAGGAAGCATGGTCCCCCCCAGAGAACCTGTTCAGGTACCACTAACATTTTAAGCAACTGATACACCTGCTCAGCCCCTGCTCCCCTCAGAAACAGATGGCAGCTTCTGCCTCTGGCCATGCCGCTGGTTGTTTGCAGACTATGTGGCCCTGCACAGCAAAACTACGAACAAGGCCTGTTTTTACCCTCAGAGCTACAAAACCTAACATATATGTCCAAGTATTACTGTCTCTAGTAAGTGTGGATCATAGGCAGATGGTCCAGTTAAAGTCATTGTAAAGAAGAGTTTACAAGGTAAGGCTTCATGCCACAGAAAGTTTCAGTTTCAGGAGCTCAAACCTTGAAAAATTCACCACTTCCTAAACAAATTACACAGCCTGAATATTCAGCATTGTTTGCCTAGTAACAAATAGGAGATGGATGTATTGCGTTAGATCTTGCTGTCATAAAATGGGTTCCTCGCTCTCCGAGGTGAGCAGTTGGTATGTCTGGGCAGGTGAAGGAGGGTATGAGTGAGGTATGTAAGGTGCTGCTTTCTACTCCTGCCTCAGGCAGTGGCCAGGACGGTGCAGATTTACCAGTCTGCATTTGGTAAAGACCAGCAG